TAGAATAATCCACAGCCAATGTTCCATCTGTCCAACAAGGTTTAAATCAGCAGGAGAAACTAGCTGATGTTCAACATTCAGTCTGACTATTGTTCTCTTCACAGCAACACTTACTATTGACACAATGCTGGAACACAGAGCACAAGGAGAGCTCCGCCTACTGGATGATGGCGCCCTCTGGTGGAGATAAAAGGTGAAGCTGAACAGTGACATTTAGCATATAACAGCTTTGTACACCAGCCTACTTATACCTGCCTCTGCCTACTCATCTCTGTTAGAACATCTCACTGTGTCTGTATGCTGCACTTATGCGTGTTTCCTTCAATACTGGATCCTTTCCAGCTGAATTCTTCTAGTTGAGGTTGTCTTTATCTCTATGCTCCAGTGCTACCTGTTCCTCTGTGAGTCTCAGCTGCTTTCTTGCCTGTTCTGGTGGTTCTCCGGTCCACACGGCCTATTGGTTCTGTCAGCATCTACATCTCTTGGTTCTTTGCTCACTCCTTCAAACTAGCATTCCTCTGCCAAGACAATAACTTTAAACCTGCTTCATCTGCCACTATTCACCACTTCAATATACTCTTCAAATGTAACTCTGTGTCTGGCTGAATATCAAGCTCACCTACAGAAAATTGTGACACTCTTTTGTCCTAATTTAGTTTAACTTGATTACTCCAATTTACTTGGTGAACTTAACCTGGTCAGGACCAGATTTAGGACCAACAAAGGTTGAAAATAAGTTTTATTTTTATAAATGATGTAACAATATGTCCTAATGAAATTGGGGAGAGGTTTATGATGCAAATGTATACTTATCTCCAAAAGCTAAAAAAGCTATGTAGCATACCTGACATGATTGTTAAACATGAAAATAAAACCATGTATTTTTTGATTAGATTTTGGGCCTAAAATCCACACTGAATCTACGGTTCTTCCACATTTCTGTCAATGACAGTAACAGAGCATTCCGTCACTCAAATTATTTATTTTTTTGGGCTGGAAAAGTTTCAGAGTTAAGGTTTTGGCCTGCCTTTTGTTTAGTGGAAACATATATGATATACACCAGTGTTTTTCAACCCTGGTCCTCAAGGCACACTGCTCTGCATGTTTTGGATGTTTCTGAGCTTCAGCAAACCTGATTCAGATGATTGCAGTTCAGCAAAGCCTGAGAATCTGCTATCAATTGATATTGATAACAGGTGTGTGAAAGCTGGGAAACATCTAAAACATGCAAGGCAGTGTGCCTTGAGGACCAGGGTTTAAAAACACTGATATACACTACTCAAAAAAATAAAGGAACACTTTGTAATCAGAGTATAGCATCAAGTTAATTAAACTTCTGGGATATTGATTTGGTCAGGTAAGTAGCAGAGGGGGTTGTTAATCAGTTTCAGCTGCTTTGGTGTTAATGAAATTACCAACAGGTGAACCAGAGGGGCAACAACAAGATAACCATCAAAACAGGGATGGCTTTACAGGTGGAGGCTGCTGATATTTTTTCACCTCCTCATCTTTTCTGGCTCTTTTTCACCAGTTCTGCATTTGGCTAGGGTCACTGTCATTACTGTTAGCATGAGGTGCTACCTGGACCCTACAGAGGTTGCACAGGCAGTCCAACTCCTCCAGGATGGCACATCAATACGTGCCATTGCTGCGTCTCCCAGCACAATCTCAAGAGCATGTAGGAGATTCCAGGAGACAGTCAGTTACTCCAGGAGAGCTGGACAGGACCGTAGAAGGTCTANGTGCAAGGAGGAGCAGGAGGAGCACTGCCAGAGCCCTACAAAATGACCTCCAGCAGGCCACTGGTGTGAATGTCTCTGACCAAACAATCAGAAACAGACTCCACGAGGGTGGCCTGAGGGCCTGACATCCTCTAATGGGCTCTGTGCTCACTGCCCGGCACCGTGGAGCTTGATTGGCATTTGCCACAAAACACTGGAATTGGCAAGTCCGCCACTGGTGCCCTGTGCTTTTCACAGATGAGAGCAGGTTCACCCTGAGCACATGTGACAGACGTGAAAGGATCTGGAGAAGCCTTGGAGAATGTTATGCTGCTTGTAACATTGTTCAGCATGAGCGGTTTGGTGGTGGGTCAGTGATGGTCTGGGGAGGCATATCCATGGAGGGAAGCACAGACTTATACAGGCTAGACAACGGCACCCTGACTGCACCCAGATGTTGTCAGGCATGCATACACGCACGTGGGGGCCATAAAAATTACTAAATTGCAGCAATGACATTTCAGCAAAATGGACTAGCCTGCTGCATCATTTTTTCACTGTAAATTTTGGGGTGTCTTTGAATTCAGCCCTCTGTAGGTTGATAATGTTCATTACCATCAAGTGATGTGGCATCCTGTTGTTCCTAACACATCACTCAGTCCATATCACTATAAATAAACAGCATGTTTTTCTCACCATCAAGATCTGATGTGTTTTCAAAGTGTTCCTTAAATTTTTTTGAACAGTGTATGACACAGGAAACAGCTTATCCTGGTGCACAAGAACCTCTTGAGAACACTCCGAGAACTACAGCAGATGAGTTGGCGTGCTACTTAAACATGTTCAGCTTTACNGCAACGCTGAGTCCTGTCACTGCTACGCTGAATCCTGTCACTGCTACGCTGAATCCTGTCACTGCTACGCTGAATCCTGTCACTGCTACGCTGAATCCTGTCACTGCAACGCTGAGTCCTGTCACTGCTACACTGAATCCTGTCACTGCTACACTGAATCCTGTCACTGCAACGCTGAGTCCTTTCACTGCAACGCTGAATCCTGTCACTGCAACGCTGAGTCCTGTCACTGCAACGCTGAGTCCTGTCACTGCAACGCTGAGTCCTTTCACTGCAACGCTGAATCCTGTCACTGCAACGCTGAGTCCTGTCACTGCAACGCTGAATCCTGTCACTGCAACGTTGAAGGTTATTGCGGCTAAAGTTACCTTTTTGAATTCTCAGTCATCCGGTTCATGGAAACAGCAGAACAAGTCCACTCAGCTTTGGTTTTGGTGCCCTGTCTTTGGGATAAACCAGTTTTTCTTAGAGTGTGTTGCTGGGTTTGAAACTTATCGGTGTGTTGTGTTCAGAGATGAACTGTCTGAGTTTCTTAAAAACTCCTGACATATTTCCATATATGTCAGTTAAGTCAAGAATAGGAATGGTTTTTTACTGGAAATGAATGAACTTTTGTGTAACTAAAGAGCATTCATCTGTTTTTTAGACTTCCTGCTCTGGCTTCCTTGCACTGGACGATTAATTTTGTAATTATAGTTCTAACTGTCAGGGCATTTAGTGGTCAGGGCCCTCAGCACATTCTGAAACATTCTGGACTCTTGAGGTTCTACACAGAGATACAGACTTCCCTAATTTTTAACTTTAAACTATGATATGGAAGAAATGCAATAAAATTATCCTTTATGCTACACTGTAATTTATGTATTTATACAAATATTAAATTCTAGGTTCAATAACTAAGCAGTCATTGTCACTCACCACAGCAAATTCATCTTTGTCCAGATGGCCATCTTTATCAATGTCACTCAAGTCCCAAACCTGATATATTCATAAAAATAAAAATAGAGCATTAGTGACATATTTACACACATGATATCAAATTTATTTCTACAGCTCCAATTCACAGCACATGTCCTCTAAAGCACTTTAACAGTCGCTGGTTGTCCAGGTAGGGTCCTGAAAACAACGTGGGCTACATTAATAATTGGTCGATCTTTTAGTTTGGTCTGATTCGGAGAGACGGCATCCATCCCACTTTGGATGGTGTAATGTAAGTTTATTTCTAGAGCACAATTAAGTACAAGGACAATTCAAAGAGCTTAACATGATTTAAACAATAAAATAAAAGAACATTTAAAGCAAATAAAGATAAAAACTGATAAAAGTGGTTAGTGAAACAAATAAGGCAGTTGGGCCAGAACCTTAAAGTAAAACCTCAGTTTAACTTCAACAATGGCAGCTCTAAGCTAATGGCGTTTAACTCTGACTAACTTAAGCATAAATGTTTTTACTAATATTAACTGTTAACTTTTTTAAATTATTTTTAAATTAAAAAAAATGAAAACAATGCTTTTTATGTCTTTGCCGTTTATAATAAATAACTAAACAGACTTTTTTATTTAAATATTTTGCTAGAATTCCCATTCCTAACCGATTACAACCCAAAGTAATGAGAAACACCATAAATACCTTCCCAAGGACGTCCAGAGGAAGCTTGGAGTTGATGAGGACAGGTCTGACCTTCTCACCTGACAGCAGGCCTTTGACAGGAGCCAGACTTTCAAAGATCCCATCAAACTTATTCTTCTCCTCAGGCTGTGGGGACAGAGACCCAACAGTTAGTCGGTAGCACTCTAGATCTGCAATCATTTTCCAGCACAGGTAAAGCAGTCAGTTAGTGGTTTTAAATCTTCCCATGTCATTTTGGATATTGGTTAGATTAAACAATATGATGATCAGAAATTGGCCCAGCCGCTGGTTCTGGTTGTGTTGTTAGTATTCAGTAGTATTACTTTCTGAGAAAACCTTGGTGGTGTTGGAGTTTTCCTGTCAGACTAAAGGTCATTGGTTCCAGATCCGGTTTTGGCTTTTGGAAGTCGCCATGTTACACTATTACATAGTGTTGTGGTCAAAGTGACGCAGTTGTGCTGGTTTGCCCTTTTATCAATATAGCCTCAGTAGAAACATTCTCAGATTAGATTGTTTTACCCAGACTGGTTGGACACAGAACTACCGACAAGGAAAAAAACATAAAACATTTTATTTTGCTCATTATTGACACTTGGACAACATTTATGGACATTTTGTAAACACAGAGTGTAAATAAAACTAAATTTGGTTTTGTACTTTCATTAAATTTCCATTCTTAAAGTGCAGCAGTGATCAAATGTAAACAGTGTTGGAGAAAAAACATGGTGCAAAATATCGCACTGATCCTGAAGTTCAGAGCATTAATATCTATGGTGCAAATCAGCAGTATTGTGGGTTTGGTGTTATCAGTGTTTTTCATTTTTATTTTATTTGAATAGGGACAATGCACATTAATGAACATCAGTATAAAAACAAATGTAAATATGCCGGATTATAGCTACAAAGCTAGTTTTCATCCATAGACCCTAGGCAGGCAAATACATAAGAAAGAACATAGCATACAATACAAGCATGACAAGGAAATGTTAAGAGTTTAGTGGTTACATGACTGGTTTGTTTTCATCTGTAGTTTGAGTTGAGCTCTAAAGCTGATCAGTGTAGGGCTCTCCCGTATGTGCAGAGGAAGACTGTTCCAGATGTTAGAGGCTCAGTGTGATGCAGAGTCTGTGATTTAGAGTTTTCTCATCAGTTCATCAGTCTGATGGCGGTGGGGGAGAAGCTGCTGCAGAACCTGCTGGTCCTGCATTGAATGCTGGGAAGCCTCTTCCCAGAGGGCAGCAGGGAGAACAGTCCATGG